TCAGATGAAGTTTGTTTTATGGCAGGGGAAATGCCAATAGTATTTTATGTTGTTTGCGTACATGATACCATGAGAATTTTCTGAATGAATCTGCTGCTAAGCTATCAATTCTTTAATGTGGAGTTTTAGAGATTTAAATTATTGGAAGGATATAAAAGAATTGCTAATATACTCGTAATAAGTTGAGCATTTAAGCAACCAACAAAGTATAAACTTAGTGGAAAATTTTAAGCAAATAAAAAGGAGAAAAAATTATGTTGATCGAAAGATTTAAAAGACTAGAAAATAAGTTGGAAGTAACATAAAAATGTTTTAAAATAGATTAGACTAGGTTGAAACAAAACAAAAATCAAAAAGGTTGAGAAATTAATGAGTTTGATATATTTCTGTGCTATGCGTGTTGTTCTGCCGAGTGGATTTAACAGATTTCACTGGAACGAGATGTCATCGACCTTACTTTAATGCTTCATTCACCATATTCGGAAACAATTGGATGGAACTCACATTTATCTTAATAAGATTGATTCTTAATAATTGATTAAGTCTTAGATTTTCACATCAACAGATATAAAATTAGAACTAAAGTTGAGCAAAATGATCAAGATCACAAATTTTTGATCAAAGTGGGATTTATGATTAATTTCAACCACTGCCTCAATCTAAACAATAAATTTTAATTAATATAGCCTGAGTCTAGTATTTTTCAGTATTTATCAAAATATTCTAGAATATATTAAAGTTGTGCTCATTTTGTTGTTTAGAAATCTGATACGAAATTTTTTTTGTTCTCTTAAGAATTTTAAATGCCTTGACAATAAAAGTTACATTATCATCCAATAAAAATCACCAAAAAGAATCATTAATTTTCATTCCAATTGACCGAGATCAGCAACAATTAATTTTAAAAAAATGTTCAATAAACTTTAAATGGAAATGCCAAAACTCTTAATTTAATCCGTCTTTATTTAGAGCTCAGACTTTTTAAGTTGGACAGGTCAAGTTGAGGAAACAAAATTTATAATTCTTTACTGAGTTCAATGAAACTTTGCTCGATGACAAATAGTGACAAATCTCTCAAGTCAGAACATAAAATTCTCAAATTTCCATAACTTAGCGATTTATTATTCTATTAAGGAGATGATTGTACTATAGAATAATTGTAGTCAATTCTAATTCATGCCTTCGTCAAGCTCAAATTGCTTCTGAATTTCCACTCAATCAATGTAAGTACATCAAATTGTAATTGGATTGGAAAAGAGATTAAATTTGAAAGGACATATTTTTATCGCAAACAGCTTTACATCTGAGGCAAAATAATAAAGTAACCCTAACGTTACTATGGAGATAATCTGATAAAAGCAGAGTAAGTGAAATGATGAAAAGTGCATTTCTGCTCTTTTACAATAGGAAAAATATTGTGTAGTCATGAGAACGCTCTATGAAAGTTATCAGGCATTAAAAAATAAATTGAAAGCCCCAATAAAATAAAATAAAATATGAAACTGGCATTATAGTCTATTGTATTTGTTGATATGTGTCACATTCTATGAATATACAGGCAAATGTATTGCGGTTAATTTTATGACATCATGAAAGCATGAAACCGCTTTGTATTATCGATAAATTGCTTCACAATTTGTTGCATTGTTTGCATAAGTACTCATTTTTTTTGCAAGCATGGAATTATTACTGGAGACGTTTACTGTGTTTGACAGATTTCAATAGACGAGATTCAAAGTTAAGAAAGACTTTTTTCCTCCATCAATTTTAATTAATTTTTCTTCTAATCATTTCTGAAGCTCCCGATGATGATACTTAAAGTTGACAACTAACTTTTTCATCCATCAACATTATTATTGGGTCAGGTCTGGTTCAATCAGTGTGTCACATGTCATAATTCAATATTTCCATTCTATCTTTCCTAAACTCATTAATGCCATTATTGACGCAAAATAGGAAAAGAAGAAGGAGGTGGAAATGAAAGACGACGAGAGAGAAAAACATTTTCCTAGAGATTTAATTTCATTTACTATATAAACAAACGTGGCGTTTATCATTTTACCCTTTTTATGCAAAAATACGGATATTTTATGCATATTCTTCGGGTACGGAAATGATGCTTGATTCCGTTTTTCTCAATTTTTTTATATCCAACTTTAAATTGTTATTGGCGATAACAACAGAACTAGGAGAGTGTGAAAAGGCCATAGAATTAAATTTAACTCATTTAATCCTCCAACTGAATGCAATTTACATTTTTCAATCCCATTCCTGACTATCTATACGCCCACAACTACCCAACTCGAAGGTGAAAGCCTCTTTAAAGCTTAAAAAATTTTTTTTTATCATTTCAGATCTCTTTGCAAACACAGTTCCTTGTGTATAAGACTTTTCCTTTGAATTTATGTCTCTATAGAGCAATTTAAGATCTCTCCTTTTTTATTTCATTTCCTTTTCATTTATCATTTACCAGGGAATGACGTTCTGACTTATTATGTCTTTTCCATTCGCTTTTTACACTCGTCGAATTGGAATAAAATTGATGAATTTGTATCAATGCAGAATGACATTTTGTAAGTACTTTAAAGAATCATTGGCAGTATTATTGTCTGAGGTTTCGATCGAGTCAAAGTTCTTTAAACATAAACGTGTTTTTCTTATTCGTTGCCTAGGTGCAAGATTTGACTTGATGTAAGTACAATCAAGATACTAGGAATCAAAAGAAACGCAGTCTCAGGAAGCCTTAAGAAATATTAGAGCTCACGTGCGTAAGCACTAAGGTAACAACACTGAGCACATGCATGAAAAATTAAAGGAAAATTCAAAAGAGAACATTTTCATGTAAAATGGCACATTTAGAATTGAATGCAAGCATAAAAAGACATGTAGCATGCTCTTTTGAAATAAAATTTAAAGGAGCAGAATGATACATTGTGTGAGAATATAAAAAGTAATACTTAAATTTGATTCTCAACATTAGCGAATCTAATAGCTTTCCATGGAGTTGGTTTCAATGGGATAATGTTTCTTAAAGGCATTGACAATACTCAAGAAATTCAAAAGAAGACATAAGAGCAACAAAAAGCTCATTTCATCATCATAAAACATCTACATTATCCTTAAAATACGCTTTCTAATGTCTGAAATCTTGTTCATGCTCTGTTTATGAGTACGAAAAGCTAGCGATTTCAGAGAATTTACACCCCTAAGTACTAAATAAACACAATGATCTGAATTAAGTTTTATTTTTTTATTACTTCTTCTTTCATGTCATGTGTAGTCAATTTGTGGATAAAAAATGAATTTAACTTTGTATAGTCAAAGAAAGAAGAAGAAAAAAATTTTCAGTATTATTCCCGAGCTGAATATAACATTTTTGCTGTCAAAAATTTTATGTTGAGGTTATGATATAGCTGGATACCTGAGGAAGAATGAATGTCAGCTTATTCAAAGAGGAAACATTACAGCTAGCTTTTACAATTATGATGCTCGGGACTCTATCTCATCTATATCGATATCAGCATTAAATTATTTTTCTGCTTGTTGTACACATTTATTTTGTTTATCATAGGGTGCTTTCTATTCCTCCCATTTCCCTTAAATTTTTATTTTATTCATCACAACCTTTATAAAATTTAATACAATATAGAATTTTAAGGAGAAGATGAAGCAGAAGAAATGAAACGAAAATATATATTGCCTAGGCGATATTTACTTGAAAATGAGAAAAAAAAAGTACTTGAGGCTTTATATAGAGAGACGGAGATAAATAAATAAATTATTGCGTTCAAACCTCACGCTCTTTCAATGCCCGAAGAAATGTTCATGTAATATTCAATTCATTAAGAATCTTAAATACAGAAAAAAGTGTATCCGACCCAATGTTTTATGAAAAATTCCATCACTTTCTCTCATTCAACAGCAAATAATCCTTTAATACAAGAGCACTTAACTACCTCATTTGCATTTTAAATGGTCGTTCGTCTTCGAAGCTTCGAGAAGTTTTAAATTAAAAAAATCAAAGTTGGAAAATAAATACTTAACGAGACGATTCATGATAATTAATTTAAATCAACAAATAAGAACGGAGAATAAGTACAAAACAGATTGAAAACTAGTAAGAACCTGATCGTATGCTCCGTTAATATTCGAAAGTACTCGATGATTAATATTATTCCTGCTATGACATTTATAAATATTCTGTAAGAAGTTGATTTGAGACATTTTAATCCCTGTTGTGTATGGACTCATACTAAATTGATGAAAATAAATTTAATTAAAAAGAAAAGGACTTTAACTAGACTTTTAAAGGACAGGAAAATTCCCAAGGTACATTCATAAATAATTTTTCAAATAAAATATTACAAGATTTCAAAGTCATTGTATAGAGCTTATTACTGTGAATGTTTAAGACGCATTTTTTAAGTTTTCATATTCACACAAAATTTTCAATTTTTGTGAATATATTTTAACATTTGAAATTTGATTTAAAATTTTGAAATTGAATTTAATTGCAGACATTCAGTCTACAAGAGTTAAAATTATAATTTTCTTCAAAATATCTAATCTACAAAAAAGCATGTTCAACTGTCACGAATGAAACTCTAAAAGTCAAGTTATATGTGAAATATAATCGGAAGATTTAATTTCCACATAAAAAATATTGAAAATAAATGTTCAGCTGGCAATGCACCAAAGCTTTTCTTTTGAATCTCGAGTGAAAATAAAAACCATGAAGTTACTTGCAACTTGTTGAATATAATAATATGAATCTTATTTATAGACATAGAGTGCGACAAATAAGATGTTTCTTTTTTTTGCTACAGAATTTCAAATAAATTAAATTATGAAAGATGTTGCTAATGAATTGCCATCAATTTAAGGCATTCATGACTTTATTGACAAGGCAGAGGAAAAGTTTACAGCAACAAAAAAAAAAATGAATATAATTTAAAAAAAAGTCTTCTTTATAATTTCATCTAAATCACTTATTTACTTACTTCTCGTCACAATTCCCTATGATTTTTATTAAATTCTTTCCTCCTCTTTATTCTCTTCCACTCACAATCTGTTGAATATATTCTTTTTTTTCTTATATTTGCTTTAAAGATTTTCTTATTCTATGTACTTTTTTTTGTACGTTATCGACGTTATACCACTCAATTGTTGAATGACACTTTTCTTGTAATCCAGCTTTTATATGCAACGAACTTAATCTTTCCACTTTAATGCTTTTTCACTTTCAGATCTTTTCTTTACATTTATTTAATGATCTACAGGATGATCTCTATTTACTTTCCGTCAATAAACACTTAAGAAGTATGCTCGAATCTCTTTTATATTAAACTTATCAACATTTCATGTTTCTCTTTCCTTTAAATTCTAATTAAATTTTTTTATATGTCAATTAACATTAATATGTTGATGAGCACCAGTTAAGGTTCTTTACGCTGATCCGCAACCGCGATGTATCGCGAGCTGAATGAATTGATTATTCGAAAACAAAAAGTGTGATGAGAATAAATTATTGCAGAGCAAGTTGCATGCGATTAGTGAGATGAGATGTGTGTTCTTCCTCTCGCAATGATTATAAATATTTATTTATTTTTTTGTTCAAAAAAAATTTATATTGAGAAGCTCAACAGTTAATAAAATGTAAGTTCTATGTTCACTTTATATATATATATTTATTATTTTGAGATACCGAGATTGCCTTCTTTATTCGACGACGGGAACAACGATACTGAATGAGATGTTTTGGGAAAAATGATATGATTTTCGTATGCGATAAAAATGTGTGTGTTTAAATTCAGTGGCGGAGTGCGATGCGCATGATTCTCAAATTCTTTGTTACATTTGCAATTTTATAATGACTTTTCGACAAATGACTCCTTCGTAGAGTATCACTTTAAGATTAAATGTGATGAGAATGAGAGGAGAATATTGAATTTATAAGTGAGAATTGCGCAATAATTTAATTTATTCTCTTTTCCTATACCTACATTCTCACCTACGTCTCGTTACTTTTTATATCATATTCACACAAAATTTTCAATTTTTGTGAATATATTGTTTTTCGGAAAATCAGTTTTTTTAACTTTCTGCTTCAGGCTTACGGAATCAACCCAAATACCTCATATATAAAAGTTTGTGCCTCAAAATACCTATCTAATGGTGAAAACAATTTTTCATTTGGCAGTTCTAGTTCTGAGAAGTGAGGCACAAGATGCAAAAAAATTTTTGTATGGGAAAAGTTTAACCGATTATTACATAACCTGGAACTAGCGAGTTCCTTTACAAGATTCAGCTTACTGGATCTATGTTATTGAATACATACTTTACTTGTATCATAATGGAAATATGTTTTTGGTTGCAGCATTGATTTTTTTCTTGCTGTATACTTACTGGATCTTGGCTCCAACGATAGCACAATTTCAATTTCAACTTTAGTGGACTGGATTTAATTTTTAATGACAAATTAAATTATTTCACCAATTTTTCACAATGATCTCTCAATTTCAACAAATTGTCAAAGCTTACTAAGAAATTTTTCTTATTTCTTAATTACAAAAAAATTGAAATTGAAATTGTCAAAGCCCACTTAGAACTTTTTCTCAAATTTTACTGGATCATGGTTTCAAGTTTCAGACATGATTTAAACTTTACTGGATCTTGGTTCCAAGTTTTAAACATGCTTAAAACTTTACTGAATTATAATAATTTGTTGCAGACATGATTAAACCTTTACTGGATCTTGTTTTTTAACCTCAGACATGATTAAAACTTAACTGGATATAGGTTTATTGTTTCAGACTTGATTAAAATTTTACTGGATCTTGGTTCCAAGTTTTAGACATGCTTAAACCTTTACTGAATTATAATAATTTGTTGCAGACATGATTAAACCTTAACTGGATCTTGTTTTCAAGCTTCAGACATGATTAAAATATAACTGGATCTTGTTTTATTGCTTCAGACATGATTAAACCTTTACTGGATCTTGTTTTTAAACCTCAGACATGATTAAAACTTAACTGGATGTAGGTTTTAAATTTCAGACATGATTAAAACTTTACTGGATCATGATAATTTGTTGCAGACATGATTAAAACTTTACTGGATCTAATTTTCAAGTTTCAAACATGGTTAAAACTTAACTGGATCTAGGTTTATTGTTTCAGACTTGATTAAAACTTTACTGGATCTTGGTTCCAAGTTTCAGACATGCTTTAAACTTTACTGGATCATGATAATTTGTTTCAGACATGATTAAAACTTTACTGGATCTTGATTATTTGGTCAGACCGGATTAAAACTTAACTGGATCTTGTTTTTTAACCCCAGACATGATTAAAACTTAACTGGATCTAGGTTTATTGTTTCAGACTTGATTAAAATTTTACTGGATCTTGGTTCCAAGTTTTAGACATGCTTAAACCTTTACTGAATTATAATAATTTGTTGCAGACATGATTAAAACTTTACTGGATCTTGGTTATTTGGTCAGACATGATTAAAACTTTACTGGATCTTGGTTATTTGGTCAGACATGATTAAACCTTTACTGGATCTTGTTTTTAAACCTCAGACATGATTAAAACTTAACTGGATCTAAGTTTATTGTTTCAGACTTGATTAAAACTTTACTGGATCTTGGTTCCAAGTTTCAGACATGCTTTAAACTTTACTGGATCATGATAATTTGTTTCAGACATGATTAAAACTTTACTGGATCTTGGTTATTTGGTCAGACATGATTAAAACTTTACTGGATCTTGGTTATTTGGTCAGACATGATTAAAACTTAACTGGATCTAAGTTTTAAGTTTCACACATCACTAAAACTTTACTGGATCTTGGCTCCAAGTTTCAATAATAATTAAAACTTTATAAGATCTTGGTTCCAAGTTTCAGACATAATTAAAATTTTACAGACTCTTGGTTTTGAGTTCTAGTCATGGTTAATTTTGGATTCTTGGTCGATACATTTAAAAATCCAGTACGATCTGTAACCTATAAACCTACTGTAATCTATTAACCGTTGAACGAAACGGAGTGGAGTTCAACACCTATAAACCTACTGTAGTCTATAAACAGATGAACGAAACAGAGTGAAACGAAGTGGAGTTCAACACATCTGTAATCTATTAATATTCGAGCAAAGCTCGAGCCAGGGTTGCGCGAAGCTCACAAAAATAAAAATCCTTATAATACTTATGAGTAAAAAAATCTCAGATTTCAATAGCACACAAGTTGCAAAACTATCCAAGACTGTAAGCTATATTGAAATCGGATCTACATAAAAAACTATCTGAGAGCATTAATTTGAGTGATTTTTCAATTTCATAATTTATCGTTTCTTAAGTGTGAAAGTTAATGGCTTTCTACATAAGTCGCATTTTTCATATTTATAATTTTAAAAATTGTTATTTTTTGCGACATTAGAATCATGATTTTCGTTGTAAAACGTGTTTTTATTGCGTGGTATACTTTGTTGATAATACAGCAAAATGTTGATATTAAGTCTTACATTTTATTGAGAGAAGATTTTCTGAACAATACATAGAGAGTTCTATAGAATTGTGTGAATATTCCCATGAAGCGTGATCGGCTTCATTACTAGTTTTCATTCAAGTTTCTATTCATTCACTCTTATTTTTGTCATTTCATACATTACAGTCAAAAACTAATATGGTGCTGTATGTGAAATTTTATGCATACATACTCATATTTACTTATCACTTGAAGTACCGCGCGAATGTTCATATGTATTTACTTTTTTTTTAAAAAAATTAAATTTCATTTCATATTTTCACATGTTAACGACAATTGAACTTTTTTTTGTATTTTAAATTCGTTTCGATTTTTCTTCCTCATTGCGATGCATTTGAAACATTCATGTGTAAATAAATAAAATTTAGAAGCGTACATGCATAGGAATAAATAGCAAAATAATATTAATATCGAGAAAAATACAAATAAAAATCACAACATGCTACATAATCCGCTCAATCAAAATATCCTCAAGTCTAAAATAAATGACATGTGATGGAAATGTTTGCATGCGGATGACCAAAACGCTTTTTTGAGGATACCAAATGAAAAAGTTCTCTTTCTGTGAAAATCTCATGATTGGATGTTAATTAAGTCCACAAAGGAAAATTCAAACAAGATCTGATCTATAGCTTTTTGGTTTAACTGATCAATAGTTGCAAATTATCAACATCAAGACTTATTCTTTTCAGGATTTTGCTTTTGCAGCAGATAGTTATTGCAAAGATACTTAATTACCCAATTAGAGATTCATTTTAACTAATTACTGTAGTTTGAGCAGCAAAAAAACTTTAGTTCTTAACAAAGGTTAATGTTCAACTTACCTCAACAGTCTAATTTCAATCACTTAGCATTCAAAAATCCTAAATTTACGCCCATCTTACCAATTGTTGGATATTCGATTGCCGAAACTTTATCATTCTCTCAATAAAACGTGCTATAACAATAAGATAAAAGAGGAAGCATTAAGTGAATGATTCCATCAATATTGACAGTATCACGAATTTGCGCGCAAAAAGGTCAAAATTGAGGAAAATAGAAATCTTCATCAGTGTTTATGAGCATCATTGTGATTTTTATTTCGTCTTATTCTCCCTTCTCTTTATTTTTTCTTATTGTTCCTTTTCCTTGCCATCCCTTTTCACGTTTTTTTTTTTCATACGCATCTAATGAGAATAGAAAAGAAATGAAAATTTATTCAGAATTGGAGGGAGAGAGTGGAAAAGTTGGAAAGCAACAAGTGCTTGTTGAAGAAACAACAACAAAAGCTGCAGAAAATTCGGATAGAATCTACGCTCATGGTAATGTTTTTGGTGTGGTTTCGGTCGGGTAGGAATGAGATCGGTATGGTGCTATGGAAAATAATTATGATTTCGTAGGAAATTTGTTCAGATTCATCATGTAGCAATCACATTAACGAATGCTGCATGTTTACATGGCATTCACGAGAGCTTTTAATTATTGTTAATGACGGATATTTGATGGAAAATTACAACTATGGATATTAATTTTCATGTAGGATACATTATTTAAACGAAGATATATGGATTATATATTATTTTTTTGTAGTTAAACATGATACTTAGTTATGTTCTCGTATGGAATAAAAAGTACACAATCTAAATATTGAGAGCGATGTGTGTACAACACTCATCCGGTTATTGTAATGATGAATTAAGCCAATGAGGGTATCACTCACTTGTTGTACTTTAGAGGTATCATAATAATGCTAGTAATAATTTGAATTGAGAGATGGATAGAGAGAAACTAAATCATCATTATTACCAAAATGCAACAATTATTTAGACATGCTCGAGCGAATGATACGTGCGGCATCATTATCAATGCAGTTTTTACGTCCACATGTGTGCTTCATTCGGAGAATAATTTTTAAAAAAGATAATTTTAGAAATGAGAGGTGATGTATGAGATGAAATGAACTCATTCTAGATAATTAGGAATCATATCCATATGATATCCTGATCAGACAGTCAGGCAAAATAAATGCTGTACTCTCAATGATGCACTAGATCTCAACGTTCGGAGGAGGGGGGGGGGTTTGTCAGCAAGAAAAGAACAATAGAAATTCCTGAAAATCCATTGTTCTTTTATGAAAAATGACCGTTAAATTCGGACGTCATAAGTGAACGACCCCAAAGCTCTCCGATCCGACAAATAAAATTTATTACAAAAATGCAAATTAATTGGTGTCAAGTTCTTTTTGAAATAATTTCCTTTCTCTCTGATGTATCAATTTGTGTTTCAGCATGTATCAAATTTATGTTATTTATTGTTTAATCTAGATTTTTATGACTTTAACTCACCGAAACAGCCTCATCACTTCAAGTTTATTTGTTTTTATGGACGTAAAGTAATTGAGTGCTTTCGCACATGTGTATACTGTTATTTACTGTATTTATCTTACAATAAAAACGCTTTTAAATACTTGAATTCATCAATTATTAATGCATAAAAATTTCTAGCTTTTAACGGTCTCTGCAACTTCAAAAGGATAAAGGGAGATAAACTACACGGGAAAAGCGTAACGGTAATGAATAATTTGAAATCCAATAATTTATCGGTTAACCGACAGACCTACCCAATTATCTGTCTTTTCATTTCGAGCATTTCGTGCTTCGACATTATATTTGAAAACGTGGTTCTGAAAAAAATCATTAAAAATGGTAAGTATTGTTAATTAATACTATAACTAATCAACAAAGTGTAGAATGCATCAGGACGAATAATTGTATGCTAAAAAGTCCTGTGAAAATCGATTATTTCTATGAAATATATTGATTTTAAAACTTCCGTACTCGGTTATGCTCATTTTTCTTCGCAAAGAATCGGAACTAAGAGTTGGTCACCAAAATGGAAGAAGAAAAATGCTATGGATTTAAAAAATTTCATAATTTTATGAAATTTCCTTCTAGAATAAATTTTTTCTTTTGTTCTTTGAGAAAAAACATTAATTTCTTCGGAATATGAAATTCGCTATTGCTTAAAAAGCGTAGAAAAAAGAGCATGTGAATGAACGGAGAATGTGAGAAGCAAACCTGATGATTTTACATTTTTTTCGTACCTACTTCCAACAATCACTTTTATGCAGAGAATAATTTCAAATTTTCTCTTAATTTAGGTCAACTTTACTGTCGACGAAATCCGTGCTATGATGGACAAAAAGAAGAACATCCGTAACATGTCTGTCATAGCTCATGTCGATCATGGAAAATCTACACTGACTGACTCTTTAGTATCAAAAGCTGGTATTATTGCTGGTGCAAAAGCCGGAGAAACTCGTTTCACAGATACTCGTAAGGATGAGCAGGAAAGATGTATCACAATTAAGTCAACGTAAGTTCTGAACTTGAGATTTTTCCTTAATGACGTAAATAGCTAACATGTCATCATTATTATAGCGCTATTTCAATGTACTTTGAATTGGAAGATAAGGATTTAGTCTTTATCACAAATCCAGATCAACGCGACAAAGCCGAAAAGGGATTCTTAATTAACTTGATTGATTCACCCGGTCACGTTGATTTCTCATCAGAAGTCACAGCTGCTCTTCGTGTCACTGACGGTGCTCTTGTTGTTGTCGATTGTGTATCAGGTGAGCTTTCCATCTTTTTTCCTATATCTATCAATCTATATACGTATAGCATATTATTTAAAAATAAAGTTTTTCTTGATTGTGTGCGTTTTGAGTCGTAATAACTGCTACATGTACATGTTTTTCATCTCGACTATTCTCTTTTTCTGTTTCTCATGACGACTGATCATCACCATCTGAAAAAAAAAATAATGTAAATAAATGAAAATAGGTGTATGTGTCCAAACTGAAACTGTCTTGCGTCAAGCTATTGCCGAACGTATAAAGCCTGTTTTGTTCATGAACAAGATGGATCGTGCATTGTTGGAATTGCAATTAGAAGCAGAAGATTTATATCAAACATTCCAGCGTATTGTTGAAAACGTTAACGTTATTATTGCCACATACAGTGATGACGATGGTCCAATGGGTGAGGTTCGTGTCGACCCCTCAAAAGGTTCAGTCGGTTTCGGATCAGGTCTTCATGGATGGGCTTTTACACTCAAACAATTCTCAGAGATGTATGCTGCTAAATTCAAGATTGATGTTGTCAAACTCATGAACCGTTTATGGGGAGAGAATTTCTTTAATGCAAAGACAAAGAAATGGTCCAAGATGAAGGAAGAAGACAACAAACGTTCATTCGTCATGTATGTTTTAGATCCAATCTATAAAGTATTTGATGTTGTTATGAATTACAAGAAGGAAGAAATTCCCGGCTTATTAGAAAAACTTGGAGTTACACTCAAGCATGAAGATAAGGATAAGGATGGAAAGGCCTTATTGAAGGTTGTTATGCGTTCATGGCTTCCAGCTGGCGAAGCTTTACTTCAGATGATTGCCATTCATTTACCATCACCAGTCGTTGCACAAAAGTATCGTATGGAAATGTTGTATGAAGGTCCATTAGATGACGAAGCAGCTGTTGCAGTCAAAACTTGCGATCCAAATGGTCCATTGATGATGTACATCTCTAAGATGGTACCAACAACTGACAAGGGACGTTTCTATGCTTTCGGACGTGTATTCTCTGGAAAAGTACAAACTGGTCAAAAATGCAGAATTATGGGACCAAATTATACACCTGGAAAGAGAGAAGATTTGTATGAAAAGTCAATCCAACGTACAATTTTGATGATGGGACGTTATGTTGAAGCCATTGAGGATGTTCCATGTGGTAACATTTGCGGTTTAGTCGGTGTCGATCAATTCTTGGTCAAGACTGGTACAATCTCAACATTCAAAGATGCTCACAACATGAAGGTAATTATCTCATATTTGCTATTTTTGTGCTTTAATAATTTCTATATGATGATAACAACGGACCTGTACTGATGCTTCATAAGAAGAAAAACTCGTTGCTCTTAACTGAAATTATAAATTCAATAACAATATTTATGAGAATGTATTGAGAGAACAGTCTAGTAATGCATCAAAAAATTATTTTTATAGGTTATGAAGTTCTCTGTATCACCTGTTGTACGTGTTGCTGTCGAACCCAAGAATCCAGCTGATTTACCCAAACTCGTTGAAGGTCTTAAACGTTTAGCCAAATCCGATCCTATGGTACAATGTATCATTGAAGAATCAGGTGAACACATTATTGCTGGTGCCGGTGAATTGCATTTGGAAATTTGCTTAAAGGATTTGGAAGAAGATCACGCCTGTATTCCATTGAAGAAATCAGATCCAGTTGTATCATATCGTGAAACAGTCTCAGACGAATCAAGCATGATGTGCTTATCAAAATCACCAAACAAACATAATCGTTTGTTCATGAAGGCTCATCCAATGCCCGATGGATTGGCTGAAGATATCGATGGAGGTGCTGTAAATGCTCGTGACGACTTCAAAGTCCGTGCTCGTTATCTTGCTGAGAAATACGATTGGGTAAGTTTGAAAAACTTGCTTTTTGAGCAATAACTTTGACTAATTTAGTATTATTCTTTAGGATGTCACTGAAGCTCGTAAAATCTGGTGCTTCGGACCTGACGGAACCGGTCCAAATGTAGTTGTTGATGTCACCAAGGGAGTTCAATACTTGAACGAAATTAAGGATTCAGTCGTTGCCGGTTTCCAATGGGCAACAAAGGAAGGAATTTTGGCTGAAGAGAACATGAGAGGTATGTCCATTCTTCTGTCTATAGCTATAGCACTTTTTCCTTTATTACTGTGATGATTTTTTAATTAAAAAATGACCATATTCTCAATGTGATGGTTTCATACTTAGCTCAACAGGTCTGAAATTCCTTTACGTTGAAAATAATAGTCTATAAAGTAAAGAATAAATGCTAATAATAAATATTTTGCAGCCGTTCGATTCAACATTTATGATGTAACCTTACATGCTGACGCTATCCATAGAGGTGGTGGACAAATCATTCCAACAACACGTCGTTGCTTGTATGCTTCATATATCACAGCTGCTCCACGTCTTATGGAGCCCGTATATTTGTGTGAAATTCAGTGTCCAGAAGTAGCTGTCGGTGGTATTTATGGTGTATTGAATCGTCGTCGTGGTCATGTCTTTGAAGAATCACAAGTTATGGGAACACCAATGTTCGTTGTTAAAGCATATTTGCCAGTAAATGAATCATTCGGTTTCACAGCTGATTTACGTTCAAATACAGGAGGACAAGCTTTCCCACAGTGTGTGTTTGATCATTGGCAAGTCTTCCCAGGAGATCCCGCTGAGCCACAATCAAAACCATACCAGATTGTACAAGACACAAGAAAACGTAAGGGTCTTAAAGAGGGTCTACCAGATTTAACCCAATACTACGACAAAATGTAATCGCGATATAATATCAAGCTTCAAATTATTACTATTATTATTAAAAAAAAAAACACAATCTTTCTCTTTTCATTTTAAACAATTTTTTGATTTTGATTCAAAATAATATATTATATTATATATTAAAATATGTCACGCGCAACTACGAAATTGAGAGCCTCCCGTCACTAAGCGTTGATAATTACCTTTCATTTTTTTTTTATTAATCAATTGTTTTAATCAATTTGAAATACTTTTTTGAGAATGAGCCTTTCAATTTCGCAAGTCGACTTTGATTTGTGAAAGATTTAATAGCCATAAGATAAAAAGTTTGCTTATTTGAGCCGTTAACGAGCAGCGATTTACGATAAATGATTTTTCCAGAAGAACATGGCATAAAACACTCGTCAGAACTACATTTTCATGTGTCCTTTTTGTTCACATTGATATAAAAAAAAGTTTAAGATTAAAAATGTGAAAATAAACTCTATTTTCACGAACAAAACATGCTTGTCTTTTTAATCATTTTATTTTTGAAATTTTCAGGCACGACACGTGAAGAATAATCATCATTTTAAATTATAATAATAATAATCCTTTTATTAAGTAAGTTAAATAAATCAAGGCAGAACATATTGGAAGTAGATTGATATTTTTAAATGATAAGATACATGTGATGCTCACGTTTTTTTTTGGAACTATCTATCAGTGTCAAAAGCGAGAGTTCAATGTCACGTGTTACTAGCTGCCTTGCTTGCCAACATTATGTTCCATTTTCAACGAACTTTTGAAATTCAAAATTTAAATTCTTAACTGTTGAGAAACAATACAGACAATTAGGCAAGAAGAAAGACACAAGTGAGTATGTTTTCAATGACTTATCAGTCTCGTAGTAAAACACAGGCTCAACGGATATCGATAATTTGAATAGATTTGTATTTTATTAGTACATCCCTTGCACCAAGCTGGTCAGACTTTTGCAAGATATTTGAACGACAATGGAAAATTTTTTTCTCGCACGATCAATGACCGACTAGGGTTTGTGGAAAACAGCTGTTTTTGAAAAACAGTCTGTTTTCGGTTTTTGATTTTTAAAAACAGCTGTTTTCCTGTTTTTCTAGAATTCAAAATAAACTGAGTTATGCTAAGTGTTTCTCTAAGATAATGAAACTTTTTGGTGGTTATAAGCAGTTAAGGATACATTATAGAGCTTAGCATTCTTATTTCTTAACTCTATAAAATATAATGAAATATAAAAATTCAAAAAAAAATATTTATACTTTTAAGAAACATTGTATTGTTGCATTGCAAAAGTTCCATAAACTCTAATATTTTATTTGAAATATTCAAAAAAATCTTTCTAAATAAAAAAATATCTTGCAAAATTGTTGATTATATTTTTGGACTTTAGTAAATGCTACAAAAGGTTCAACAAATTTAAAATTTCGATTGCAAAATTAGTAATGATTAATCATAAATTTGATAATGATTTCAAACCTATTAAACATCCAAAAAAATTTAAAATAGTAAATACATTTCAATTTGGAATTCTAGAAAACTATATTAAGTTCTTCAAAAAATTAAGAAAATTTTTTTTCTGTAAATTATATGTAAAAATGAAAAACAGAAAACAGATCTGTTTTTAAAACCTGTTTTCTGTTAACAGATTTTTGTCGAAAAACAGCTGTTTTTCTGTTTTCTTTTAACAGGTTCCCCAAACCCTATGACCGACAATTATGTAAGATTTATGGATGATTTTGCCAGATATTTTATGAAAAAGAAATTTTTCATATTCTGGCAAAAATCATTCAAGATCGTCCAAAATCTTGAAGAAATCGTCAAAAAATTCCATGCAAGTTCACAACTTACGTAAGATCTGTCTAACCAAAACATTCGGTCAGATAGTGCCACTTTGTATGAATTTGTATGAAAAATCTTGCAAAGTCTGGCAAAAATCGGATGCTGGGTTATAAGTCCAGAGATTATAAGTCCAGAAAATCAAAGTCAATTAAGGTTTATAAGTCCAGATACAAATTGCACCTGGACTTAAAAACCAAACGTGTAGATTATAAGTCCAGGTACAGATACAGCTGGACTTATAAACTACACGTTTGGTTTATAAGTCCAGGTGCAATTTGTATCTGGACTTATAAACCTTTATTGACTTTGATTTTCTGGACTTATAATTTTCTGTGTACGATTTTTGTACCTGGACTTATAATCTCTGGACTTATAACCCAGCATCCAAAAATCGTTTTCGGGCATAAAACTAGCATTCAAAATTTTGCATTCTCTTCCAACTTTCTTTCCATTTTGGCGCAAGGGATGTACTAAATTGAGTTTAATGAGAAATAGTAGCAAAAAATAACTCAAAATACAAAAGTCGCTGAAAATTAATTAATTTAACAACTTTTCTTGTAGCTATCCCTTTCCAATCAATCCATAAACATGGGGTAAGTGAAGTTAACATCAAGTTCAGTGCATAATTAGTGTAATTTTATTCACGAATGAATTTTTTCGATTTTTCTTTCCGCCCTATACGATTTTAATGTATGAGAAAAAAAATATTATTAGTGTATGTTTTGGCGTGAAACTGGCAGTTCCTGAGAAAACTGATCTTGTTTAATGTAATCAAATCGTTAATTAAGATATAAATGAGGTGGCTATTAAAATAGAATTGTATTGTAAGACATGCTGTCGTTAGAAAATTAAATCTCCATGTTTACAAGTCCTCTTGTCGCGTTTGCGTATTTTTTCATCCACGAAAAGTCCGTGTTTTAAAGTCTCTATTTTTTTCTGTGTATATAAAGTCAGTGTTAAACATTATTTATAATAAATTTTTAATTATTTCTTCTGTTCATGTCTTTTATGCGATTTTAGTGAGCAGCCAATATTTACATGCCAAGCTCATGTATTTCATATCGATCCAAAGACTAAGAGAACTTGGATAACAGCTTCTACAAAAGCAATTAGTGTTAGTTTCTTCTATGATTCGTCAAGAAATTTATATAGGATTATTTCGGTGGAAGGAACTAAGGTAAGCTAAGATCCATAGTTCACAAATGAAACCAAATAGACTTAATTTCTAAATCATTTTATATCAGGCTGTAATAAATTCAACAATCACTCCAAACATGACATTCACGCAAACATCGCAAGTAAGTCATTAAAACTTTTTATTATTTACTTAATCTCATAGCATTGAATCTTTATTATAAATATTTGAATCATTAGAAATTCGGTCAATGGAGTGATGTGCGAGCAAATACAGTATATGGCTTAGGATTTGCCAGTGAGGCGGAACTGGGGAAGTTTATAGAGAAATTTCATGAAGTTAAAGAGGCTACTAAAAATGCTATGGCAAAAGCAAGTACAAATGGCAGTTCAGCAGTCACGCCAGTAACTTCTGCCAATGCATCACCAATAACATCGAGATCATCGATCACTCAGAATGACAGTTTCGTATCAGATATCGCGGAACCACCAATGTCAGCATCTGGCTCAATCGTACGTAACATATCATTATAACTTATTATTATCATCATATGATTGACATGCAAATTGACGTTATTTTTAGAAGAACGAAAGTCCGCAACATTCAATTACTGCAAATAATAATAATACCATAACTAATGATCATAAAACGGTATCGAGTAATTCGTCTACCGAAGGCGGTGCTGCAAATTCAGATCAACAAATGAAATATGAAAATGAACGTTTAAAATTGGCTTTGGCACAGAGGTATATGTTTGCAGCATTATTGATTATCGAAACAACCTGATTTCTTTTTCTTCCTCCAACATTTCAGTTCTGCGAACGCTAAGAAATGGGAAATTGAATTATCAACCTTAAAAAGTAATAATTTACGACTTACTAGTGCTTTACAGGTAAGTTCACACTATTCAAACTATACACGATGTATAAATGGTAACGATAATGTGATTTTGAAGGAATCGACAGCAAATGTTGATGAATGGAAACGCCAATTACATTCATACAAGGAAGAAAATCAGAGGCTGAAAGTGAGAGTACAGGAGCTTGAGAATGCAAAGAGCGGAAGCTTATCGAGCAGTGAAGCGTTGACAGATGATTTAAGACGAGAAATAACGTTATTAAAAAGTCGCATTGAGGGTCTCGAGAAGGAACTGATGAATCAGGAAGCTGAATTGAAAGCGACAAAAGTTAGCTTAAAGGATAAAAATAATGATCCAATGATTAAGAACTTATCGGCAGTATTTCAACAATTTTCAATACACTTAAGCGACTTGCAGAGCGTACAGAAAGAAATGGATAAAATCTTTCAGTTACACAAGACGACTTGAGATTTAAAAAACTTACAAACTAAATTGAACCTTATCGAGAACCATCAAAGTATGTTTTCAGAAGAAATTTATAATTCACTTCATAATACAAATTTAACAATTGAAAAAGATAGAAATAATAACTCAACAATTAGTACCAAAGGAAAACCGAAAATAGATAAGCAGACGAATAATAAAAATGAATCTTACGAAACTGTTGTTGTTGCTGCTCCTATTGCATCCTCAAAAGAGAAGAAGAATGTCAAAATAGCCGATACTAAATCGTCTATTGTTTCCGAATCAAGTGGAACCAATACCTTGAAACGTAAACGAGAGACTAAATCACCCGTAAAGTGTGCAGATTCACAACTCGAACAAGAGTCGAGTAAGAAGCAACAAAGTGGCAGCAGTCAGACAACAACAGCAACAATTTTAGTATCAAAAACGAAAACGAAGTCCGGACTTCCAATGCTTTTGAAAAAATGAACTGTTTGATAATTATACATTTTTGAAATTACAATGATGATGATGAATGAAGTATCATATACATGCATAATAAGTATAAATATACATATTTACTTTAAGGATGAAGTAAAAAACAAGAGTTATTCAGTAACACGGTATGTACATTAATTCTACATAAAGTTCTGTCCACGATTTATAGACGATTTAAATCACTTGACCGACGAACGTTAATAAATTAAACTAGTTTGTCTTTAAATCGTGGATCTGTCGTTTGCAACTCAACCAAATCTTTCGTTTTTGGGTTGCATAGAAATACACATCCTACCACTTTTTTACACTACTATGGAAAAAAATGAATTAAGAATTAATTAATTAAATAAACTTCGTTCCATTCCATTAATTATGCATTTAAGATGGAAACAAGAGTTTAGGAGATCAAAATTTGTTTTTAAAAAATGGTAAATTTAGTAAAACATTGTTAGAATATTGCAAGAAAAAACAAAATGTTAGATATACTTAATGTTCAGAGGAGCATAAATTGTAAATATATGTCCAATTTCTCGGGCATAACTTCTTTATCGAAAAAAATCAGTGATTTTTTGAATTGCAATAATAATTTATAAATTTATGTCATTTAATTGAAATTCCTTCACTATTAGTTTTATTCCTGCCTATCTCATATTTACTTTCTACATTCTATACCTTAGTTTATGATTTTATTTATAAGTTAAACTTACGCACAACTCTCTCTCTCTCTCTCTCTCTCTCTCTCTCTAAATTGTCTATCCACTAAAACGAGAAATTTTATGCTAGAAATGCAAAAGATAAAGTTGTTTAAAATTTTTGTATGCGGTGTAGACTTCTTGATGACATATATCGTTCAATCCAAAAATTTAAACTCTTATTAAAGAAAATTGGGGTTGTTCACAAAAATGACGTCTGCCATAAACTATTCACTCCCACCACACTTTTATCACAAAATTATCATTTAAATAAATTAAAACATTGCTGCATCTCTCTTAAATGCTAGACGTCATTTGTGATTGACCACAAAAAGCTGTATTATGTTCTTAAAACATAAATCTCATATGCCATAAAAGAAAATTTGTAAAGACGTTGAAACAACAAAAAAAAAAGAAAAGAAAATTTGTGTCATTTAAGGAAAAATTTTATATTATACACTTCACATTCATTGGTATTGATAATAACTTGAGATCCAAAATTGTTACTTTGAGAATATGAAAATTTTTTAATTTGAATATTTTATGAATACTTAAGCCATAGCAAGTTCCTTATGCATTTAACCAGTAATTTCCCTGAATTCAAGCATAATACTTAACACTGGATCTCGAGTGTAAAATCAAAATTGAAGACAAAAGTAATGTCAAATGACATGTATTAAACACGAAGAATTTTTTTTCTTATCAATCGAGAATATGTGTGAATATATGAATTAACCCCAAGAGTGGAAAGAGAATAATGATGAAAAAAAAAAAATATTCGTAATAATGATTGATTGACATTTAGGATGCGGATCAATTAGATGCAAATGTTACTTAATAATTATTATTATTTTATTTTTGACAAGTATTATTTAAAACTTTTTGTTGATAATGGCACACAGAGCCTATAAAGGCAAAATTAAGTCATAAATCATGAATAGTGTGATGTTTCTTTTGTATTATCTTACTTATAAAGCTATTACAACTTGTTCTTTCCATTTAACCAATGATATTAAAGAAAATGAAATTATTAAAAAACCACTATTTATTGCATTAATGATCAACTTGCTGCAACGATTTGGACAACCTGGGGTGATAAAAATTATGAAAAATTTGTGCTCAAAATGTTGATTAATTGCAGTAACTTGATACATGTCGAAGTTCATTAAGTAATAGAAAAAAAACAGTATTTTAGAGACGAGATGTATGGACGACTTAAAGAAAATTAAATCGAACTCTCTCACATACAAATAAATAGTTGCCAAAAAGATTGTTAGTTCAAAAAAAAAGTAATAATAAAGTATATTGTTAAGATATATAATTGACATTTTTGTTTTGTTCAATTATTTTCAAATGATAAGTAATTTAAAGATGAATAATATGTACTTTAACTTACCCGCCTTGAATTTAATAATGAATCTTAATGGACAAATTTTTTTTAAATGCTTGGCTCTCTCTTTCTATTTCTAAAATGAAGTAAATTAAAGACGAAATTATACTTTCCACTAATAAGACTACACTTAAAAAAAAAAATTTACTACAGAAATGGAAAACATGTATGATGGATTGTTTAAATCCCCAATTATTCATGATGAATCTAATTTTCAATAAAAATTGTAACTATTAATAATAATTTAAATCTCTTATTACTTTTATTATTCTAGTTTTACATTTTTTTTCTCTCTTTTTCCAGATTTATAATTCAAAAAACACACACTCAAAAATCAGCTGGTCATGAACAGCTTTGCAGGTTGCATTTGAAGAAATCTCTTTGTAAGTTGGAGTCAGTCAGAATGGTATGTAATTAGTCAATTTGTCGTTGGTAAATAATTCATTAATGTGTCTAGTCTAGTGTCTGAGGAACTTTGTGTGTTCTTTTTGTAAGTGTGATCAACTTTGTCACGATTCGTATTAGAACAGCTTTTATAGTTTTGCATGGATGATTTTCAAACATCCATCTCATTATGTTTGTAAAATGATACATAAAAACTTTTAGAGTTCGCTTCTCAGCTACAAGACTAGTCAGCGAGAGAATGAAACAATCCTCAAATCGTTTAAGGTTTTCACAAAATGACAAACTTTAATTTCTGTGCCATACTCTTACAAATATTATTGCATGAATTAATCTAAATTTTATATTTCTTCATCTTGGTGCTGAAAATTTACACAGTGACAGAAAAAAAATATAAGTATCTTAACTCTCTAGGTTCATTAGAAAGCACACAAAGAATTTTGAAAAGATTAGTAATGAAATAAATTTAATTATAAGTTATTTTGTGACATCCATAAATGGTAAATTAGTTAATTCAGCAAGGAAAGAGAGACTTTATCAAACTGTCTATCGTAGAAAATTATATAAAAGAAAAAGGAATTTAAAGAATGCTTCTTTTGGATTGTGAACAGAGATCCTGAATTTTGTGATAATGATAAATTTTTAAAAAACTTTAATTTTATGGCTTTTCAAAGACGTTTCAAGATTCTCTTTTTCTCCTTTATAAGTTTCTCTTTTTTCTTGTCCTGGATCTTTTTATCAGACGCTATTTTTTTGCTAGAACTGCAGCCGTCTTCTTCAGCATCGTCCTTTTTACTTGAACTTGCTCTGGCATGGATTTCGGTCAATAATTTTGCTCTTTGCGAGTAATCATCGTAATGTTCTAATAGTAATTTTCCAGCTTCCTCGTTCAGTGCGGATTCTATAAAATTAAGAACATTTATGATGAATCTGAGATAGAATTGTCTGTTGACAGTTTCTTCATTGTTACCTGGGTTGGGTACGATTAAGAGGCATTTGATAGTTAAAAGTATATGTTTGATTCCGAGATCAGGCTTCCAGTCCTTTTTGAGTGTATTTACACAGATTTCTCCGTTGCTTGCAACATTTGGGTGGAAAATTTTAGTCATGAAATATGCTTTCGGTGGGCTTGAAGGGAAGTCTTTAGGAAGCGTTAATTTTACACGGAATTTTCCGCCACTGTAAGGTGTTCCAGCTATAAAATGATAATTAAATGTTTGGAATTAATCATACATTCAAGAATAAAGCTAGATAAAGGCCAAGAAATAATTAAAGTGCATAGGAAAGTGTACAATGAAAATTTTAATCAAGGTCAGTGCATAAGCAAGCAATAAAATTATACACACCTGGGCCATCAATAATAGCTTGTATATCAGTAAGATCTGCCTCATTTATGTTTCTAAAATTAGAAGATGAAAATGTTAATTATAGTTCTTTGTATTGCGCAAAAAGTTAATTAACATACATTTTAATTCCTTCTAATGTTTCCGTTGATAAAGTCTTGACTTCTTTCGTGATTTGTCTTATTACTTGAGGGTTGTGATTCTCTAAATTAGACATCTGAAATGACAAACAGCATAAAATAAGCAAATAAAACAATTGTATTAAAAAGAAAAACATAAAAATGGGAAGGAGAATTTTTGTGAAAAATGTTTGATACAAATTTTCCCATTTTCCCTCTTTTTGGAGTGAATTTTCCAATTAATACTGGTTTTTCAACATTAAAAATACATTTTTGAATACTTACTGAACTCATTTTATTTTAATTTAAGCTGTATTTTAATTAAATATTAAGAAATAAGATTTTATTATTTGCTTTTTTTTGAATATTTGTTATGCAAAAATGAGTTACAGCAGATCCAGTAGAAAACCGTTAACTGCAATTGCAATTTGATCAATCGCGGTTATTTTGCCAAAATTAAGTGATTAATCAGTTACTTTTTGAGTATATGGGTGATTAAGGATGTACCCGATTTGATTTAATAAAGAATTAAGCACTTTTTAACTGAATTTATTGAATTAACGTATACATAAAACTGTCTGATGAAAAGCTTTGATGAACTGCCATGCTGACTTTAAAACATTCATTAATTCAATACAGACGTCGATAAATTAATTAATTTGATATACAAACCTACTTTTGTTTACAACTTATTAATAATAAATCCCAGTTATTACAAGAATATCACGAAATCATTAAAAACTCACAAGTTGCTGCCTGGAAGTAACGTGTGACGTAATTGACGTACAGTTGTTATTGCGTTTTACAATAACAACAAAAACAATAGGAAAATAAATTAAGCTTTTTTAGTCGAATTCAGTCCGTAAATGTTCTTTGATCGGTAAAGTGGGAAATATCGTGCATATATCTTTCATATAAACAACAATTTGGTCCGAAAAGTTTGTTGAAAAGGAACCAAATCGCGATTACATTATTTTCTAAAAATATCATTGAAAAGAATTTCCAAAAAATATCTAGCTGAAATTTCATCGTTTCCATTACGAAAGATACATCCATCCGTTCCTGTTCATGTGTGTTTGTGTATAAAAATAATTGCGTGATTTAATAATATTTATTGTGCAATAGCTAGCAATCAAGAAAAGATACAAATTCTGTGAGATCCAGTAAGATACACGTACAGTACAAAAAGACACGTATAGTTATGGCTGAAGAATTAATTGACGAAAGTGTTGAGAAATCTTTAATTCAGGGAATCATTGATGAGATTATTGGAAGTCCATTAAATCTTATTCTTGTTGGAATCATAACATTCTTAATCTATAAAATCTTTAAGAAACGTCAACCAACAGAAGCAGCACCAGCAGAACCGTAAGTCAATCAAAAATCAAGATCAAAAGTTAATAAAATTCAATTAATTTGTTTTATGACTTCACAGAGAGCTTCCAAAACTTAAAAAAGATTTCACAGTTCAAGAGTTGAAGGCATTCGATGGAAATCAAGAGGATGGACGAGTGCTGGTTGCTGTGAATGGAAATGTCTATGATGTCACGAAAGGAAAACGATTTTATGGTCCCGGTAAGTGAGGCCTCGCCTTTATAGTGTATATTGCTAGCTAGTGATACTCCCATACATTTCAATAATCAGTCTACCATTACATTCCACACAACTTTCCTCCTTCATTTTTATTACAATATAGATATATATGCATATACAGTCTTTATTATGTCCGTGACTTCTTTCTTGTTTTGCTTACTTTGCCTTTATCATCATACCGGTTTATGCTTACTGCTGCATACAATTTTTTAGAATCAAATGAATTACAGCAAAATTGTTCCAGTTACTGCCAATAATTATTTGTTCACCTCTTGTTTCCATATCCGTTATTTATTCATTTATTCGTAATAGCTAATGAATTGCCGAAAAACATATTCCTTTCATTGCTTCTTGTCTCCAACACTCGTAATAGCCTGAGTAAAGATATTTTTTAATGTAGTCAAAAATCCGCATATATTTTCTCAGCTTTTTGGAAATAAGAAGCAATATATCGTGCATACAAATATAAAAAGAGTTCTTTTTAATACATTTATCCAAATTATACAGGCACAACTTGCGTTGAGACAAAAAGCCGGCATTTTTCTCTCAATGATGTACAAAAGTATTCTCATGTGTGTGACATATTTAATGCACAACAGTCGAAAAAGGGAGGAATGATTAGATTAAATGACACTTTTTATCTCTCTAGTTCAATTTATGGAAGTAGGAATTCTGATAAGCGAGAAGTGTGTCTTTTGAAGGTCAGTCGTTGTTAATGGATTCTAATTGCATTTGACAAAAGCATACGAAGATTGTCAAGTCACCATGTTCAAAAACTGTCAAATTTCATTAAACTAAACGAATCCTTCAAAAATGAACATATCCCATAAAATTAAACTCATCCATTGAAAATTCAACACTTTCTAAAATTGTACCAGTTCACTCAGAAACTAATCATGTCCATAATAAACTAAACTTCTCCTTCGACCTGAATCACGCCACTTCTGAATGAACCTCAATATTAGTTCTGTTTGATTAATATTTAATTATACATCAAACTGTTGCTCAAATAAATGTGTGATACTTCAATTAATTACGATGACGTATGTGTTGTTGATATATTTATAGGTGGACCGTATGCAGCTTTTGGTGGAAAAGATGCTAGTCGAGGATTAGCGACATTCAGCGTCACTGCCAACGAAGATATTGAATATGATGATTTAAGCGATCTTTCACCAGCAGAAATGGAGTCAGTAAAAGAATGGGAAATGCAGTTTAAAGGTACAAAGTTCACCAAAACATGCTAATTACAATTAACATTGGTTATTTTTTTCGCATTTTACAGAAAAATATGACTTTGTCGGACGTTTGTTAAGGGTATGCTAATTTATTCTGAATAATTTTAAAGGCAGTCGCTTATCAGTTTACTCTTTTGTAGCCTGGCGAACAACCATCAAGCTATTCCGAAGACGAAGAAGATGACCAAAACTCCTCAGATAAATCAGGTGGTGAAGAGAAGCTTATTACTGAATCTAAAGAAAAGCCTGAAGAGTGAAGTGCAGTGCCGTGTGTTCATAACAGCTTAAATCACTAAAATATGATACATAAACGCTCACATTTCAAAAAATATAAGCAGATTGATTGCAAATGGGACGAATATCTTTTTTTACACTTTTTTGAATACATTCGTTTCCATTACTTTGTGTCGATTTTTGGACAATTCTTACAAAATCTAATTCACATTTTTTTGCTTTTTTCTACATTTTTTATTGAATTTTTTATTTTTATCATTTAGAATTGGACTACGTTTTTTAGCTATTATGACAATTTTTTTAAAAAATTTCTTTTAGAATAATGCCAGTACTAGATGGGAGTTAAAATTAGTATCTTTGGTCACATTACGAAGTAAGAGAGAGATAAATTTTCATTCTTTATTATTCAGTCAGTACTTATTCCTAAAATCGCTGTTTTTCCTGCATAATGTACTATGTCATGTTGATAGTTTATGCAACTGGATCAATGTCGTTTTCAAATTATTAACTATAGTTATTTCAAACATATTTCAAAAAAAAAACATATTTTTAATAATGAAAAATTTTATAAATCATTAATATTGAATTTGGTAAAAAATAAAGAATTAAAAATTAATCACTGTGTTGTATATTTTATTGGCTCAAGATCTTGGCTATTTTCATTTTACTGAGGCTAGTTGAGTTGGTTCAAGGTTTATACAGTTAAAAGTTTCAAACTGAACACGATGAAACCATCTTGATAATCCACCCAAAAATAAAATAATCAGCAAATTGTCTGATTATTGCCTAAAATGCAGAAAAACGTGTCTGAAATAAAACAAAAATATCAATTATAAACTCGAAAATGTCAAGGGTTTACATTGAAAATGCAAGTAGTTTAGTTTCTAAACCGTAGCAATGACTTATTTACTTTATTACACAAAAACTTTGTTCTGAATTCCATGAAAATTATTTTACTGCTTATTTTTATGTGTTTGGTGATTGTGATAAATGGATCTCATTTGATCTTATCATCCAAAAAGGGATATTTTATTAATTAATATTATTACTTCTATTTGAAAAAGAACTTCGGGACATGAATGCATGATTAAACTGACCTAGTAATGCATTCGATAACTTAAACTGTTTGAAAATTAATGAACTATCATTATTAAACCTATGGTCCGTTTTTACCAATAATATCAATGTGACTGACTTATAAACTTTTTTTAATCTCTCAAAGCGATTCTTTCTTACTTAGACAGAGCCAAAAGCTCCCAAAAAATAGCTTGCCTTACACCCTACGAATAGAATTCTTATGACATTTCTTTTTTATCACTTACACAATATTTAATTATTTAATTAAAAAATCACAACTCATAAAATCATAAAAACATTAATTCCAGTGCCTCTCAAGCTATGCTCATGTAGCATTTGATGTTCTTCTTTGGTTCCAAACTTCATTCATGTCTTCAACTAGAGCAATTTTTTGGCATAATCAAATTTTCTTGTCTAGACGATGTTAATGAATATCTTTGGTATGTATCCATCTTGTAGCATTGCCGACAATAGTATAGTGTAACCAGAGTCAAATAGCTTGAAAATCACTGCATTAATCATTTTAAAATGCCTAATTTAATGTCTTTTAACCGATAAAAAACAAAATCTTTACGAAAAAAAGCAGTTCCATAAAATTTTGACAATTCTTACATCCTAATCACCGATTTATCTTAAAAAATATATAATTAAAAATAAATGAATTTTTGGACAGATTTGAGAACAACCAAAAAAGGAATCTAATTCTAGTGGAAATGATCACACGGTTACAAATGTACGATTTGTTCGATGGCTAGCCAAGTTATTCCATCTACAATATTTCAAGTTGCTAGAACATTTAAAAATTAATCTAGAATGTGTATAAATAAGTTCATATATAGGTATTTGCTTTATAAAATTCACTAATTATAAAAATGTACTTGTCAGAATAAGGATTTAAAAAACAATTTTCAGGGACATAAAACAGAGGCATCGGTAGGTGATTTCTGCTCTGCACAAACACTTTTTACTGAGTATGATTTTAAGTATTATCAATAATCCTTTGGTATTCATTATCAAAAAAGAATGCTATGTATAATATTAGTGACTATTTTTTTCATGAATCATTTCATTTAATTTAAAGCAATACAGTAACTTTGCGATTATTTCTTGTTGTCTGACATAACAAAATGATTTGGCTTCTTTTGTGCTTGAAAATCTTCTTGGATTGTGTTTGAAAATCAATACTTTTTGAATTTAGATAAAACGAGGAAGGCAAATCAAGAGAGAAACAATTTGTTTTTCTCGTTACAATTTAGCATAACATTAAACATTGACGTAAAAGCCAATTATGCAATTATAAAAATAGCATCAGATTTTTTGCCGAAAAGTGAATAATTTAGAAAATAGAATCTTCAGAGCTTATTTAGTCTGATTTTTCGGTAGTTGTCTTGTCAGGTCGTATTTTCTTCAAATATGGACCAACGACTGCTTTAATCTGATCCAATACCAACTTAACGATGCCCTTTTCTTTTAATCCTGGATACATCGCGAATACGAGTACAACCAAGTACAGTAAGAATAGATTGTTAAATGTGGAACCGATGTATGCTAGGAAAATTGATCCAGCAGTTACTGTTATCAAGTACTGAAAAAGTAGTTTAATTAAGTAAAATTGAATGATCCAAAACTAGTGGCTTAATACTTACGAAAGTGGATCTTTCGGAACGGCTATTAAAGAATGACGAGATTGAGCCTTCAATGCACAATTTGACATCAACGATTTCTTGGATGACGTTTTCATACAATTTCTCTTGTGTACCACTCCAATTTTCTGGTTTGAAGATGAATTTAGAAACGAGCGGATATCCATAATCCAAAACAGTGATTAGCATCGTAATGAATGCAATTAGTGTTAATGTTGAAAGATCAAGCCACCATAAAATGATGAATAGGAATGTAATGACGCCAAAAATAACTCCAGGAAAGAAGCTTTGATCCCATTTAAGGATACCGTTTAAGATCAGTAGAACTTCTCTCCATTGCTCCAAATCATGTTTGACTTTATTAAAGATTTTCTTCTGGATTCAAATTTAAGGATGAGATATGAAATTAAAACAAAAACAAACAATCAATTTTTCACACATATGACGAGTTTTTCCTTGTAAGATTATTGATTTTTCCGATGTTTATGAAAAATTTTTTATTTCATTAAATTTTCACATTACCTTATCGTTTTCCATCTTGACTTGACTTGCTTCCTTTGAGTAATACGTCCAACTGCTGTAAAACACTTGTTATGTCTATTTATATCTCTTTATTACTGATTTTTTTAATTATTTTATTTCTTCTTTGTTATTTTTCTGAAAACAACGCAATTCGTTACTTGTATGAAATTTGCAACTAGCAGAGACTATAGCGCATTTTTCATCACTACTTGAGAAATTAAAGTTTAGAAATTATATAGGTACAAGAAATTAATTGAAGAATGTCAAACTGAATCAACTTTCTGCAGTCAATTGAGAAAAATGCGCTAAAACCTTAGAAATCCAAGAAAATGATGAAAACTCAAATATTCAATTTCCCTCTTTTATCTATTTAAAGAAGTTGATACTCACATCAAGTCACAGTGAAGTAGTATATTTAATTAAATATATACGATTTTATTACACAAATAAAGACTTTTCATTCATTTTTCAAGAATTTTTCCAAAAATATATTTCTCACGATTTCAATATTGGATTGATCAAAAATTTTTGAAATTGAAAAGTTCGTTAAAATGTTACTTTAAGTTTAATTAAGATATACCCCATTACAAACATTACAGCCTCATTAAAAAGTACTGGCATCAATCATACGAGTCTATTCTTCGTCAAATATCCTTATTTTGCGCTTGTTTCTCATTAAGTAGACTTTATTGATCGCAGTTCCATATAATTTGACTTCTACTGGATGTACGTAAATTATTTCTCTCCATCTCGCTCTGTTTCTTCAATTCTTTTTACATGCTTCATTCCTCTTCTTCTACCTGTTGCCTCTCATTCCGCTCAGTTTTTTCTCACGCATTTTAAAATCTTTAGTAAGCATTTACTTTTCAGCATTCATACAAGACTATTGCATTTTTGTGTTGGGTGATTTTTATTTTATTTTATTTTGATACTACTGCTAGAGCTTTTAGTGCTATAATTCGTGATTAAGTTCGAAATAAAGATCCATTTTCACCGGAATCTGTGTAATCATTTAAATTTACTCGATTAGTGCCTTAAAAACAATCATTGAGTTTCAAGAGAAAAATGTGAACTTTGTGAGTCAAGTTTATTATCAAAATAAGAAGAAGTTTCTGAATGTTGTTTTATTCCATTCTGGATGTTTAATAATAAGTAGATTAGTTAACTTAAAGAACTTATAAAGTTGGGAAACTTTCAAAAACTAAGCACAAACAAGCACACGTGAATAAACTTAATTAGAAAAGTAAATTTAGTGAAAAAAGTGCCATAAAAAAGACTTGTAAAGCAACGATCGCGTATTAAATCAAGTATTTCTCATTTCGGTGAAACAAAAGTCAAAAGTGCTTAATTAATGTGTGAATAATCAAGTACAAATAATAATTAACATCAATAAACCAGCACTGGATTGAACAAGAAGATCACAATGGCATCTTATAATGATTTATGCTTAGATTGGGAAATTCTTCTTGATAGCATGAAACTGTCAAAAAATAGAAACAACGGTGAGTCCACTCAAACAATTGTCAATTATTATATATAATCTCCAGAAAGATGCAAGTCACAATTTTAAATGAGTTTGTATAAAAAGTAGTTAAAGATCACCAGGAATGATTCAGAGCAATAGCTATCTAATCTCAGCATACCTTCCAAAATTAATCTACGAACGCATTACTTCCTAAGGGAAAATGCACAAAAAAATTTAGCATTAATCATGTCAAAGTCCTCAAAACAGCGATGTGACATCATTCAAACTTGTTTAGGAGACTAAAATATTAAGTCATTTCTAAAGCATTTTTCTCAACGCTCAAAATGCAAATTAGTGAATATACTCAATCTCGTTCGCATGTCATCATCATCAGCTGTATTAAACTCTTCTTTTTTATCTCAACTCACTCGTTTTGAAGACATTTTGCATAAATTTTTTTTACTACACCTCTTCATTGTCCGATTTAGGACCTTGAAAAAATGAATTTAACAGTGAATAGCAGCGAATTGCACGTTTGGATGGAATTGAAATCTCCATTCACATCTATTTCGTCTATAAAATATGCCACTCATTTCATGCAGTTTGCCAAAAATAAATACAATATTTAAGGCTATTAACGATAAGATTGTTTCGTTTACAAAAGTTTTGTTGATTTAGCAAGATACAGTAACAGCCAATTTGAGAGAACTAGAGTGAGCATTTACGTCAATATTAGTTTTGAATGATAAAGGAAAGTTGTAATTGCTGATACAACAAAAATAATCGATCAAAAAAGTATTGCGATAAGCGATAAGTACACCACATACTATTATTATAAGTAGTTACACAGATGAGGAAAATAAAAAATCTGCATATTGTAATCGATTTATTCTGTGCTACATCATAGTCATTACGTGCAGCTGAGAGTATGAAATTCTTTATAAGAAAGGAAATTGTCTTATTATGGCTAAATTGGAATTCTTGAGGGATTTTAACGGTTATTCTGTCTATCTAAAATTACATCCAATTTGCATAGAAGTCCAAAAAGTCAATTTAAAGGACAATGAACATCAGAAATTCCTTACATTCTATCCACTCATTAACTTGCTAATTGTTAACATACTTATCAGACATAAATCTAGAATTCTGTCAAGCGTGGATTTTCCAGACATGAAAATGAATTATATACTTTAAAGACATGCTTTGGGTCGATGAGAGCAACAAAAGAATAGAAAATTTGCGGATGTTTTTATTGTCTTTCGTCGCCTTTAGATTTTTTTCTTCTCATTTATCATTTACCTGACGATTGTTTTTAATTACCTGCGACAAAAAAAAAAGTATTAACTTTCTAGCCATGCTGAAGAAATGGCATAACAAAAAAATTCTCAAAGGATGCAAAAATTATCAGCGTCATAATTAAATATTTAATTATTTTGTCGGCTCTATGCATTAACACTTGGTGCAGACACTAGATATTTTAATGCTCTCTTACAAAATAGTCATTAGCCTACATCGCAATTACCAACAATGTCTCTCAACTTCACTATATATCTATATATATATATATATACAGTAGCGCTCAAAATGATAAGGACAGCAACTTTTTTTTCACATTTTTATTAATTTTGACGCACAGGATTATCTAAAATTGCTGAAATTTGGACCAGTTATACAGTTTTAAATGTCCTTTCATACAATATATACTAATTGTACTTTAATTAAATATTTTTGAAAAAAACGGTAAAAAAACAAAATGGCTTCCGCTCAAAATGATAAGGACAGTAGATTATGTTAAGATTTTATTATATTAAGTAATATTATGGAACTTTTAAGACTTAAAACAATATGTTTGATGAATATTCTTTAAATAAATTTATAATTCACGCTTCTAGATGTAAGACTTCTTACTTAATTTTAGTGTTTAAAAATATGTGAAAATTTTGTCAATTTATGATAAATTTTTGTACAGAAACTTGTTTATTCTTTAGGTTAACTACCAAAAATTATAGATAATTTGAGTATTTATCAATTTATGATCAAACATTTAGATAACTGTTAATTAATGTAATTTTTTTTCAAAAATTTTATTTTTCCTTTGCGAAATTTTTGTGAACTTAACTCGACAATTTGAAAAAAAATTGTTAAATATTCGCAAAACAATGCTTAAATTAGTATATTTCTCTTTCATTTTAATTGTTTAATAACATATATCAAGCAATTGAACCACTTCGAAAGGAAAAGTGACTAAGCAATCGTTCTCTTTCAACAACAAGACTTTTTGATATGGCAAAAATGAAAAATGTGTTGGAACCTAAAAAAATATGATTTACATAAGTGAAGTTTTAACATAAAATAATTAAATTTTGCTTTTTTAATCGAATAACACTCTATTTTGTATTCTATGAGTGCTAAATTTAACATTTTTACAAAAAAATATTTCTTCATATTTTTTCGTCTTGAGAAGCTCATAGAGAACGATTGCTTAGTCACTTATCCTTTCGAAGCGGTTCAAGTGCTTGATATATGTTATTAAACAATTAAAATGGAAGAGAAATATACTAATTTAAGCATTGTTTTGCGAATATTTAACAATTTTTTTTCAAATTGTCGAGTTAAGTTCACAAAAATTTCGCAAAGGAAAAATAAAATTTTTGAAAAAAAATTACATTAATTAACAGTTATCTAAATGTTTGATCATAAATTGATAAATAATCAAATTATCTATAATTTTTGGTAGTTAACCTAAAGAATAAACAAGTTTCTGTACGACAATTTATCATAAATTGACAAAATTTTCACATATTTTTAAACACTAAAATTAAGTAAGAAGTCTTACATCTAGAAGCGTGAATTATAAATTTATTTAAAGAATATTCATCAAACATATTGTTTTAAGTCTTAAAAGTTCCATAATATTACTTAATATAATAAAATCTTAACATAATCTACTGTCCTTATCATTTTGAGCGGCAGCCATTTTGATTTTTTACCGTTTTTTTCAAAAATATTTAATTAAAGTACAATTAGTATATATTGTATGAAAGGACATTTAAAACTGTATAACTGGTCCAAATTTCAGCAATTTTAGATAATCCTGTGCGTCAAAATTAATAAAAATGTGAAAAAAATGTTGCTGTCCTTATCATTTTGAGCGCTACTGTATATGCATTACCGATTAACGCAAATTGCTCATAAAATTTTTTTTAACCCGTAATGCATTTAAAAGCAATTAATAATTAAGAAATTTTCCTTTCAAATGTGATTTGCCTCTTCACATTTATAAGTTGATGACATAAAATATATTAAAGACAATAGCATAACTGTGGCACTTCCACTAACAATGCGAGAATAACAAGAAGAAATCGAAAGTTTTTGCACGCTCATTTGGATAGTATTCGATGTCGATGTCCTGCGATCTGATCACAACATAACTACTTAATGCTACCCAATGATCAATCTAGTGATGAAATAGTAGTCGTTAGTCATAGACGCATTTTGGATATTAATCTGTTTCTTGGAATTTGAGTTTATGATGCTTTGTGCATTGACGACCGTTATTCTTCTTGTGGCTGTAACATAAAAGGATGAAGAATGTAAATTATAAAATACCTGTCATAAAATTAAGCACTAATCCAAGGTGTCATAAAATCCATGCCCTCAAAAAATTTACAATTCTTGGAGACTCATGGATACGTTCAG